CTGCTTACAAGCCGCCGCACTCTGCTTCTGCTCTCCGCCTGGGCCTCTTCTACCCCATTAAGCTTCGATAACCGCTGCAGCAGCACCTGCTGCTGCTGCTGCAGTGTATGTACAGCCTGCTGCAGCCCAGTCACCTGCGAAGCTAAAGTTGCCGCACGCTGCTGCTGCTGCTGCTGCTGCTGCTGCTGCTGCTGCTGCTGCTGTAGGCTAGTCTGCTGCTCCTCAATTTGCTGCTGCTGCTGCTGCAGCTGCTGCACCAGAGACTTTCGTGCTGCAGTGCAGCAAACTTCAGAAGCAGCTAACCTCCACTCAAACGCACGCAGTGCTGCAGCAAGAGGAGCAGCAACAGCAGCAGCAAGCGTCCCCCTGGTACCGAAGAGCTCTTCGCCGGCAGCAACCTGCGCCCACAGAGCAGCAGCAGCACAAGCAGCAGCAGCAATAGCAGCAGCCGCGATAGCACCAGCAACAACAGCAGCAGCAGCAGCGGGAGCAGCAGCAGCAGCAGCATGGCCACGTAAGCGAAGCACGACACTCGAAACAGTCTGCAGCTCCGAGCAGCAGCAACAGCAGCAGAAATACCAGCAGGATCAGCAGAAGCAGCAACTGCAGCAGCAACAGTAGCAGCAGAAGAAGCAGCAGAAGCAAGAGCAGCAGAAGCACCAAGAGCAGCAACAACAGACATACTCGCTTGAGGAGGGATACCACCTCTATATGCTCGGGAGAAGACTGCAGCAGCTGCCGCCACTTGTTTAGTGCGTTGCTGCTGCTGCTCTTGCTGCTGCTGCTGCTGCTGCTGCTGCTCTTGGCGCTGCGCCCATGTGCTGCAGCATGCACCGCCTGTTCTGCTGCTGCAAGCGTCGCCTCCTTTGCTGCTTTGCTGCTGCGGCTCCACAGATCCGCAGCAGCATCGGTGCTGCGGTTGCTGCGGCTGCTGCGGCTGAGACGCTTCTCTTTACTTTTGCTTTTGCTGCTGCCCGCATCACGCTTGCTGCCGCTGTGCTGACCT